TTGGTGAGGCACCGCGGCAGAGCACGATCTGCAGATCCGGTATATGACAGAATCCAACATGCTTTCGCGATAACACATTCAACACGCTGGGAAAAAGGGGAATTCCTCAATCTGCTAACAGGCATTTATGAAAAGCCCACGGTGAACATCACACTCAGAGTGCCTACATGGCACAAATGGTTAAGCGGTCAACTACTCGCTGGAAAGTTGGTGCTTTGAACCCACCCAGAGGTACCTCAGAGAACAGCCCTGGTCACCTGCTTTCAAAAAGTCACACCCTGAAAACGCTGTGGAGCAGTTCTGCTCTGCACACACGGGGGCACTTAAAGGAGCAATCAAGTTGATGACAGGAAGTAATGTGACACTCAGTGAAGACCAAGAGCTTTCCCGTCAAGATCAGGAACAAGAGAATGCCTGCTCTCACCACTGCCATTCAGTATCGGACTGGACGTTCCAGTCAGAGCACTTACTCACGGCCGTCCAGTCAGATCTGACCCTTCCTTAGGTTTCCAACGAAGTTGTTGTTGTTGTTGTTGTGTGCCGTCGAGTCGGCCCCAACTCATAGCGACCCCTCCTTGGGTTTCCGAGGCAGTATCACTACGGAAGTAGGATTGCCCAACCTTCCTTCCGAGGAGTGGCTGGTGGGTTTGAACTGCTAGCCTTCTGGTTAGCAGTCAAATGCCTTAAGCACTATGCCACCATAGCACTTAGGCAAGAGAAATACATAACACCACCACCACCCCCAGCAAAAAATGAACCTATTGCCTCAAGTCAATTCTGACTCTTGTTCCTATATATAGAAGACCCCGAAGTATCCACAAGAGAGCTCCTAAGAGCTAATGAATGAATGCAGAAAAATGGCAGGATACAAGGTCAACACATAAAACTGAGTTGGGTTTTTAACATATCACCAATGAGCAATCTGGAAAGGAAATTAAGGAAATAATTCCATTTACAAGTAACATCTAAAAGAATAAAATACCGAGGAATAAAATTAATGAAGTGAAAAGACTTTTTTATCGAAAACTTTAAAACATTACCGAAAGACATTAAAGCAGCCCTGGATAAATGGAGACATTCTGTGCTCATGTAGGAACCTAAATAAATGTTAAGATGTCAACACTACCCAAAGCAATGCATAGATTCAATGCAATTCCAAACTCTGAACAGCCTTCTTTGCAGAAATGGAAAAGGCAATTCTCAAATTTTCATGGAACTGCAAGAGGCCCCAAATGGCCAAAGCAATCTTGAAAAAAAAAAAAGAATGTAACATGAAGACTCCCATTTTCCAAGCTACAATAATCAAAATAGCCTGCTACTGGTATAATGAGAGACATACAGAGCAACAGACTATAGAGTCCAGGAACAAACCTGTGTATCTACAGTTAACTGATTTTCAACAAGGGTGTTAAGTCCATCCTTTGAGGAAAAAATGCTGCAAAACTTAACGTTGGAAGTAGAGAGCGGTAACGGTTGAACACGATGAACACAACGTCACTGAACTGTACGTGTAAAAATGTTAAGACGGCAAACGTTATGTTACATGTATTGTTAACAAAATTTTAAAAAGAGAAAGCATCTAGATCCCAGAAGCA